CCTGTAGCCAGTAACTGCCCCCACTATGTGGGGAGCCCCACTCAAAGCCAAGGGTTGAGAGGGGTCTCGGGAGGAGGGGCACTATCTTGTTGGGGAGCAGGAGGTTTCCCCTTGGCTGCGCAGCTCACCCCCCCCCTTATCTCAATTCCACCCCCCGCAGCTTTATTACCACGGGGAGCCCATCAGCGTCAACGTCCACGTTACCAACAATTCCAGCAAAAGTATCAAGAAAGTGAAGGTGTCTGGTACGAACTCTGGGGGGCTGGGGGGCTGGGAGGAAAGGCAGCTGCTCTGACCCCCACCCATGAGGCTTGGGGTCCTTGCGGGGGGGAGGGGGGCGTAGTCGAAGAAGGCTGTGTGGGAAGGAGGGGTGGCAACAGAGATGGAAGGGCTCCCCTGCGGTCATCTAGTCTGGCCCCTTGCGGAATCAGGATATCCACAGCCAAAGCTGAGCCGTAGGTGGGGCCCTCCAACTGCCTTTGGGAAACCACCCGAGGGAGGGGGTGGGGGGCGTGTGCGCGCCTTCTGCCAGGGGCCACGGCTGATGCGCTTCTCCTTCCACCCCTGCAGTGCGGCAGTACGCGGACATCTGCCTCTTCAGCACCGCCCAGTACAAGTGCCCCGTGGCCCAAATCGAACAGGAGTGAGTATACTGCCCCCAGGCGCCATGGCGGTTCTCACTCCCCCGGTGGGCCCTCCCTCTATCAGGATTGGAGGGAGATCGGGGGGTGGGGTGGGGACCTGCCTCTGAGAATGCAAGCTAACCCCCCCCCGTGGGTGCTGACGTCTTGCCCCCGCCCCGGGGGGGGGGAAGGGCTCCTCATTGGGGCCGTTCGGAGAGGAACAGGCGTCCTTTATTCCTTGGCCTCTCAGTTTCCACCCCCCCCGGGGGGGCTGTCCCTGCGGACGAAAGAAGGCTGCCTCTTCTGGGGACGGTGGGTTGGGTTGGGAAGAGCCTTCGACCCTGTTCCTCTCTCCCCCCCCTGGCCTGCCCCCCCTCCCTCCCTCCATAGGAGCAAGGGAGGTGGGACAAGGATAGTCAGGAATCCCGATGCCTCCTCAGCTCCCCCCCCTCAAGTTCTCCACTTTGCCTTGTTTGCGAGCAGTGACCAAGTCGCGCCCAGCTCCACCTTCTGCAAGGTTTACACGCTCACGCCCCTCCTCAGCAACAACCGCGAGAAGCGGGGCCTTGCGCTCGATGGGAAGCTGAAGCACGAGGACACCAACCTGGCTTCCTCCACCATGTGAGTCCCTCTGCTTCCCCCACCCCTCAAGCTCCTGGGGA